ATTTCATTTTGCACTATTTCTGGTTTTGGGTCCAATATTCCAATTTCGAGCATAAAATTCCAATTTTCTATTTGATTCACAATATCTTGACTTCATGTGTTTGATTCTATTTGCAGTCTGATATTGCTGTGTGCAATATTTCATTATCATATATTATATTCATTTATATCATCAGTGTTCTTGCCAGTATTACATTTTCTTATTCATCTAATCTATTTGTTTTCTATTAGGCTCTGCATTTACTCTAAATGGTTATTTAATTTTGTTTTCTGTACAATATGTGGCATAAAAAAGTATTTTGGGATTAATTAAGTTCGATCTTATGGTATATTGGTAGAGTCTTGACATTAGTTCCAACTTAGACAGGTTAATTATTATAATTAATAAAACAGACTTTATCATAGGCAGGTTAAGTTGGATTTTCTAATTGTTTGTAGAGTTTTAATGCTAAATATTAAAATTACTCGGGTGTATTCAAACCTTATTGTCTCTCAGGTACGTCTGTGACACTGATCTCATAAACAAACAACAACAAACAGCGAGTTGACAAACATCAGACGTGATTATTGCTACATATTAGTTTATTTTATCCAGCTCCTCCAATCAGCAGTTACAGGTGTTCGTCTATGTATTCATACATTTCCAGTCTTAAAACATTTGTCATTTAATGTTGATAAAAATGTACATCATATATAGCATCGATATGAAAATACTGACAATCTTTATTACAAATCTATACCATAGGATTTATCTGGCAAGCAAAAATCATTGCTCGATCACTTTAAAAAAAAAAAAAAATCTGACTCAAAGCACAACACTTAGCCTGTTCTGAGGTTGCACTAAAACCACCGCTTCTCTCCCACAGAATAAGAATAATGATAATTCACAGTATGAAAAAAAAAAAAATTAGCAATAGTGTCTTCCACAGGTCGTCCTGCTGCTTCAGCCAGAGCACTAAAATCACCAACTAATCATCTCTAACGGGCGGCAAAATCTACGGTACCATGAGATTTATGACCAAAAAACAACAATCACGAATAAACAAAAGAAAAACATATCAGTTATAAAAATAAAGTCATAAAATGTGTACAAAGGAAGAAAAATATGCAGACACATGATTAGAGAATAAATAAAAAAAAACAAAACGATGCCGTGGTTACAATCCCAGTGTCCTGTGGTAAAGTTAGAGATACAGAAAATAAATTAACAACGATTTCCAAAACACTCGCATGATGATCGGTGAACGGGAATGAAAGAAGAGAAGACCAGCATGTTCTGTACCATAAAAAAAGACCTCAGACACGTGTTCCCAGTCGTTGATATCCACCGGCTGAATTCAAACAATAAAACGGAGCCGCTAACGACGGACCTGCACCAGCGTAATGTGTTGATGAGCATTACTGAAAACGAGCGAGACGGAATCCATGCTAACGTCATGGCTAGCACTCTGAGCAGGAGAGCCTGAAAATCAATAAGGGGGATAATAGACCATCTGCTCTCACTTCGGGGAGGCAGTTAGCAGCAGCATGTAGTGCTAATGGACGTACAGTAGGCCGTATAACACACGATATGGATCTGCTTCGCGAGCTGGAACCGTGAGAGAACGCAACATTCCCGACATCCTGAAACAAAAAAATCTGATTTAAGTTGAATTTTACAGCCCGATTTGCAAACGTAAGGAAAGAGGCTCATGAAACACTCGATACAGGTCAGAGGGAAGACGCTGCACACATGCGTTAGCCCCAATATGACTCAGCCTGTCCTCACTGTGGGACACGCACCACTGCATGGACCACGGACGTCAACCGGTCGAGCTTTGTGCCCAGACTCCACATTTGGTTGAGGTGCGTTCTCCCACAGCGGCTCCTCGGCTGAACTAAACACGACATGGAAACGGTGCAGAAAGGAGAACACTTTTCATACGTTTCATCCAAGTGAACTCCGATCAGCACAGATGAGATGAGTTCTGGTCCAGACAGAGCAGGAAAAAGGAGGAAAAAAAAACAAACACGATTATAATCACATTCATGTTTTGTCATTTGTACACATGCAGCAGGGGAAATAGCCCTTGTCATGGAAAGGAAGAGGAGTGCAATATGAAGAAGAACACAACGGGGAAATTAATTCTACCCTTCATCAGGTAGGAGGAGTTTTCTGGAACTTCCAAAAGGTCAAACTAGGCTTGTATTAAGAAGTAAAATCATATAAAACGCAGGCTTCATGGTAAAGCGATTCGTAAAGAATTAGACAATGAAGGAAGCTTTCTTTCTCAGTCGGTCGTTACCACAGCAGGTAAGAACAGGACGAATGGCTAACAACAGTGGTCAGACGCTTCTGAGTCAGCACAGAGAACCCAGACTTGTATTTTGCAGGAGGTTTCTCCCCAAATAAAAACTGCAGTATTGCTGCAGATCCCAGTACTGTGGTGATTAATGTGGTACTTCATTGTGTGGAAAGTGTGGCAAGGCAGGTGGTCACGGTGCGACTATAGCGTGAAAAAGCAACCGCAGACTGTCGACAAATGCTTGAGCTAAAAACAAATCTTGCTTCAGAGTGCATTTGTTATTCATACGACATATGAGAAGTGACGGGGGTCTCATGTCTCCCCTCTGAAAGAAGCTCGAGTGCCTTTAGTGGTTCAGAAACAGGGATCGACCGAAGATCAGCCTGGTTGATTATCAGCCGGCTGATATTTGGCATTTGTTCGATTATTATTGTTATAAACCAGTTATAGATAATTTAAATTTAAAGTTGCTAATTTGGGTCTGATGCAGCTGCCTCTCTGTGTGGTCACTGTCTGATTGGTCACCAAAAACAGCCAATCACTGGAAGCCATTGTTTACACACAGAGACAGACGAGCACATTCGTCCGTCTCAGCAAAGTCTCTCTATCAGACACACCGTCTGCAACAACTGAACAGGAGACACAGCCCACGCCACAGGAAGTCAGCCAACCAGGAAGTGAGCTGCTTTCACAGTGGCTAAAGCTACGCTAACGGCTAACGGCTAAGTTAGTCAGACGCCACAGAAACAGTGTCTTTAAAATAGTAATAAATAATGCCTTATGTGGGCCTTAGCGGGTGATAAAAGTGATAAAACTTTGACAGATTAGGAAAACAGAGAAGAAGAGCAGGAGGCAAAATGTTCAATCTCAATCAATCAATCAATCAGTAAACAGAGGAGAAAGTCCTGAGCTCCTGAGACGCTCTGACATCATCACTCCTATTGCTCGTGTACATATTCAGCTATAGTAGTTCTTATTAATGAAGAAGCCTCGTTAGAAATGACAGGTTTCTTGTCATTATGTGGTGGCAAAATACAACAGTTAAGGTATTTGGGTCCACAACTATCAGCCATATCAGTCGATCCCTGTTTAGAAGTAAAACTCTGGGCATCAAATCTGAGTTCTTTCTTTGACATGTTTGTGTCTGCAGGTCTGATGGACTTGGGGGGGATCAGACTATGGCACACATGCGTGATCATTGGCATGTAGAGGAGCAAAGCGTGGTGTAAATGTTTGGATGTACAAACATGTAGGTGTTCAGATTTCATATGTACACGTATCTTTGTGCTTCTCAGGTACAGTCGCAGTGTAGTGGAGTTGGATGTTGCTGGTCCGTCACTCCCCCCCCCGAGTGTGTGTGGAAGTTTCTGAATGTTTGTCCGTCTCTGGTTCCAGTGTTTAGTGTGTGAACGCTCGGTCTACAGCGTTATAACGGTACCGTCCTCCTCCAGACTCCGCCTCTCCATCGCCCTGTCCGGTGACGACGTGGCGGAAGTGGCGTTGGTGTTGCTGAGCGACCCGCTGCTGCCGCTGGTCGGCAGGGTCCCGTTGGCGTTGATGGAGAGGGCGGAGGCGGAGGCGGAGGTGGTGGTGGCTCGGAGGTTGAGGTGAGGCTCGTAGTGAGGCATCGAGGGCATGCTGTAGTTGGACGGGGCTCGCCTGATGGGCTCGGCCTCGCCTCCCGCCTCGATCACCAGGTCCTCGTCGTCCTCGTCGCTGTCCAGCTCCCCGACCGGGAAGTTCTGGATGATGTGCGTCGGCATTGAGGGCGCGGCGGCTTGCGACGAGTAGCCGTAGTAGCTGGCGCCACTGTCTGACGACCGACCCGAACTACCAGACGCCGCGCCGCCTCCTCCTCCTCCTCCTCCTCCTCCTGCCCCGCTGCGAACAACATTGTTCCGCTGGTTGGCAGGCTTGACGGTGATGATGAGGTTGTGGCTGTTGGCGATCATCATGTCCGTCACCTGGTCCAGAGACTTCCCAGCCACCTCGATACCGTTCACCTCCAGCACCTCGTCGTTGACCGCCAGCAGGCCGGTGCTCTCGGCGAGCCCGCCAGGAACCATGCGGGAGATGAAAATTCCCGGGAGCTTCTCCAGGCCCTGCGGAGTGACCCGAACGCTGGAGCCGTCGCGGATGTAGAAGCCCAACGGTTTCTCCTGGCCGTGCTTGTAGAGGCGAACACGTCGGTGCGTCTCAGGCAGGATGTCCACGTCGATGATGGAGGAGACGGGCCGGAAGTCTTTCGGGAGGCTGATGATCACCGGCGGCTTTTTCCGGTTGGTGTCGGGTCGCAGAAGAACCGCCGAGAGCCCCGTGTTCTTCTTCCTGGTCAGTGAGTCGGTACCGAATGTCGTGTAATCTGCCTCCTCTGCAAAACAAAAGAGAGGAAGTAGAGAAAGAGAAGTGCAGGAGGAGGAAGAGCGGGAAAGAGAGAAACAAAGAGGACGTTAACAAAAGCTGGTTAATTTTCCATTAATACCACGCTGGGCTCATTACACATCAAGTTGTTATTCAGGCTGACATTCTGTTGCATCATGTAGCTCCAGGAGAATGAATAATGCTTCGCTCTCAGCCGGAGGCATCGCTGCAGGCCGTCAGTGCTGAACACACACAAGACGTCGACCCCTGCAGCTTCCTTCAGGTCGCGCTGATGCAAAAAGCCACACCGGGCGTTTAGCGCAGCTCCGAGTCCTTCATCACATCCATCTGACGTGCGGCCGCCCACAAATTAGCCCACATATGCTGCGTACGACCTCACAGGTGCACGTGGTGAGCAGATAGGCTGCATTATAAATTTAATGAGCATATGGCTGGTGTCGCAGACTGTCCACATGAATCTTCTATTCTCAGCCTGGCAGAGACATCTAATAAACGAGTGGATGCAGGAAACCAGGAGATTAAAAATCTCCTGTTTTGCCCAAGAAAACCAAAGAAGACGCAAAACACAGAAACACGGAACAACGTCAGAGTGAAAACACACACTGTCACAGTCGTATGAATTATTACGTCTGAAGACAAACTCCTTAAAACAACCTGACAATATTCTAGACAAAATGAATGAATTAGAATCTGAAACAGCCACTCCATCACACCAACACTTACAAGATCAGCAGATTATAAAGCGGAGGAACCAAATTTAGCCATTTTAAATGCTAAATATTGTGCAGCACACATTAAAGCTCTTTGACTTCAATCACTGAGGACTTTAGGAACCGTTACTGTGCTCTAGGAATGAAGAGCAGAACTATTTACAAGCTTTGATTCTCAAGAATATACGGTGGCTTTAACCCAAAAGCTGCTTTTTAGGTAAATATAATTCAGTATTCTATATTATAAAAGGCTAAAGTGAGCCAGCTGAGCTTTACTGATTGTAATAACTCTTAGATCTCCATGAAGGTTTAACTGATAAACAACAGACTGAAACAGAAAGCCGACACACAGCCTTTAAAATTCATGTTATTTATTGAGAAAGACACCACTCCCATATCTGTGCTACATAGGAGGCTACAACCAGGAAACTGTTAGCTTAGCATGAAGCTAGAAAACAAGACTTCAAAACAAAAGTCAAGCTACTCAGTTGACCCCAAACAAAGAATGGAAATTTGTTCAAAACCAATTCTCTAAATAAAAGAGTTCTTATATTTATGTCAAATGATTTTCTTCACATACATATTAGAGATATATTTGTGACACACCAATATCAGACACCACTAAAACTAACTGTATGTAAGTTTTTAACAAACTCATACAGAAACAGATGTGTAAAAGCATCAAGCTGTGGTTTTATGGTTATTGGTGGACTTGTGTGCCGGACTTTGCGCTCTCCTCTCCAGAGGATCTTACACTTCAATGCGGATTTAACAAACGTGCCAAACGAGATAAAACGTGTTAATTAGTGAGCTTTAGACGTGCTGGAGGGAGGATTTTGTCACTTTGATCCGACAGAGCCAGATTCGTCATCGTTATCTAACCTTATACGAAGCTAAGCTAACTGTTTCCTGGCTGTAGCTTCATGCACAGAGCGTTCATCATTATTTCCTCATTGGTTTATTTCCCTAAATGCTGAACTTCTTTCTGAAGAGTCGCATTAAACCAGGAATATTGTTGTCACTGCATGAGTCACCAGTCCTGTCCTTTGTTCGGTGCATTTTGAGGAGGAATTGTGTAGATTGTAAAGGAACTATAGACTTTAACCCAACCCAGCTGATACCGACACCAGGCCGAGGCTTACAGGAGGGAAAAGCTGGACCTTGGCTCTCTAATAGTTAACCAGCATAAAACATGCAGCTAAACATTAACATGATCGTGGCTTTCATTCTCCTTTCCTGGCTCCAGTTTTGTCTGTTTCTGACTGTGATATTTTTATCTTTTTTCTCAACTTCTTGCTGCACTTTGTAAACTCTGTTTTTAGATGAAAGTGCTCTATTAATAAAAACCCACACCGCCTCCTTCCTCCCTCCACTCCCTCCCTCCCTCCCTCCCAGCGTGTACGTGAGTAATCTGGGAAAAATATCCACTCAGGTGGCTGATAAAGATTCTGGCTCTCAGGTTTTGACAGGTACGCTCCCCGCCACTCCCCTCTCCATCCCAAAACCAAAACAAAGGATCGATTGTCCCGAGAAAGAGTGGCGGTCTCATGTTTCAGTTCTCATGAGGCACGAGGTTAGCACACTTGCTGTATCTTATGGGCCAACTACACGTCAGAACACAGCAACAACAAATTTATCAGAACCTCCGAGTTCGTGATTGGATCTGTGCCCGTTTTCTGATCCACGTCTTGCCAAGCGCATGAACTCTGAAGAGGCAGCATTACGCAAAAACAAGGGCGTACAGGTGGATGCTTCAAAGCAGTTGCGCAAACACACACACTCCCTCCGCCGCTGACACGAGGGTTGTTCTGGCAGTGCAGTCATGCATGGGAGCAGGCGAAGCTCCACATCTCATTTCGCTCTTTCGAGACGTCTTTTCATCCCGGCCGTCCCTCCATCTCCAGCATATGAAAGGCCAGACCTGACAATGGAGCTCCAGTTGAGCAGAGAGCATGCGACGGTCCCCGAGGGCCACTCGCAAACACACAACGGCAAAAGAGACGCCGCGGTGTCAAGCAGCATAATCACACAGAGCCAGTGTGTAAACAGCATGTGCAAGCATCTGCGAGTCTGCATTAATTTATAGACACACACACACACACATCTATTGGGTTGATCTCTGATGAAGCCGGAGCTCTAATGAGCAGCCGCACGGAGAAACTCAATACCCTGAAAAACCATAGTTACATTATAGCTCAGCAGAGCACACAAGCCAAGCTCTCAGTCTAATTGGCAACTACGGCCTACAGGCAAGTCACTATATAAATACACTGCACACACTGTTCCTCGTTTGTCCTTCTTTTGTTTCCATTTTTTATATTTACACACAGGACCTGGGCAAAACAGAGCCCCGTTTGCCCCGCTAACACGGAAGATATTACGCCGGTTATTGCTGCAACAAACTGCAATAGTAAAGTTCCTCTTTTGTCACCCTGATGAGACGTGAAGGCAGCGGCGGTAAACGGATCGAGGAAACAAACACACACACATTTCAAGATGGAAACTCCCAGACCGATCATTCATAAAGCTAATTCCATATTTAGGACGATCGAGCTGAACACGAGGATGTCAGACGAAGGACAGTAAACGAACCATCAATCATAGAAAACTTTATCGTATCAATAAAAAAACCAACAAACGTGATCACCGGTGCTGCTCATGCTTCACATAATTGGCCTGCACCAATTCTCTCCACCACTTATCTGTAATTTCTCAGTGTCAAGAAGTTAAAACATTTAAATCAGTCATTGGAAATATGGCTTCAGTTACCCGCATCACATGAATAGATGCATGTATGTGCATCCCGTATGCCTTTGATTTGAGTTGCTGTCACTGCTAAATAAATGATTTTAAAGCCAATATCTGCTGCATCATTAACAGAAAATGTAAATAATTCTAAACCCTATCTGCTAAATCCTGTTATTCGTGTATTTTTGGACAGTTTCAGCCAGTTACAGCGAACACAGCGCTGCTAAGACATGCACGCCGAGCGCTATCAACTGAACCAACGGTGCAATAATTAACAACCGGCTGGTACAGAACGGCTAAATGTTGTTCTTCATACCAAAGAGAGAAACAACCAGCGAACAGGCTGAGGAACAATGAGTCATAAATGTCAACCTGACGAATTCATCTCGACACAAAACCGTGGAAACGCCGCTTCACGAGGTCAACGCCTAACGATTACGGCCCCTGAAATCTAATTATCATCTCTTCTTTTGTTTAGACAACTCAGAGGTCATTCTGTGTTTGCGGTCGTGATGATTTTCATGCGTAGAGCAAACACAGCATCACGTTCACGCCCCCGGTCTCGGTAAACACCTGACCGAGGTATGCTGAGAGTGTACAGGTATGCAGCCGATCTGGCTAATGATTAATTGAAACGATCACAGGTGAAGAAAAACAGCGGACGGCGATAAAATTCTTCTATAAAGCCAAGATTTTAGAGGATATTTATCAGAGCAGCTGTTTAAACTTCTCACATTTGTAACTTATCAGCTCGAGTGTGAATGATAAACTTTCCTTCCTCACATGCTTCCAGTGTTTTTATTGCTAAGAGGAATTTTTTTGAGGTTTTGTGATAATAAATTATCAAAATTGAGAGCAAAGTCTAAAAAAGAAAAGATGATTGGGGTTTTTTTATTGAAGCGTACGACACAACTTTGTTTTTTAAATGATCAGAAGCAAAACAAAAGCCAAGATTTCCATTAAATAAGTTACTTTATCTCTGAGGATTTTATGTTTTTCTCAACCTTTCCCCGTATTGCTGCCTCGCGCTGCAGCACGATGACAACAAAGCGTCGAATTCTAACTCGCATCGTCGGCTTTCCTGAACGCAGATCGATCATATTCGCTGTCATTCTCAGTCGCCTCCTCCCTAAAAGGGCCCATTCTGAGGCAGAAACAAAAACCCTGACTGCATATGCGTCTTGCCCTTACAACAATAGCGGAGCTGCCACTCAAATCTGAAACAACGGGCTCTCGATTTCGCACTTCAAAGACTTCTCGTTTTGTCGCCGCCAAACTGTCTGTTTGTGAGCTGAATCCCCAACTGCGGTTCGGCTGCTTCTCCAAAGCAGAAAGTCAGCCTCGCTACTGACAGGAACGAGGAAGCATTATTATTACTATTATTAGGCATCATAGCTTCCACGCTGCGTAACTAACAAGCACACCCTGTATAATAACACAGTCTTGAAGTGCTGCTTGGCCTTAAACGCTCCAGCGGGTTGAGCGACTAGTTAGCCCAGCGCGCTAACATTTCCGCATCTGACGGGTGGAG